GCCATCACTTTTACCTTAATCATGATCATGATAAACTCTCTGTGATCAAGGCAGTCAGAGATCTCTATGTGTTGTGTGTTGGCTCCCTCTGGTGGTAAAACTCTAACATGGCCTTTTCAATGGCCAGTATGCATAGAAAGCAAATTGTACCTCATACATTATTAAATAAAGTAACCACTTTAATCTTATTTCCTTGTAATCAATGAAGTAGATCACAGGCCATGATGTTCAGCAGAATCTGTGGTTTTGTTTTGACATTAAACTATTCTTGTACAGAAAATCATCTTACTTACCTGTCTCATCTCATTACTCAGTTTCACACTAGTCACTGATTAGCTTTGATAAGAGAACGATGAATTACTCCTAAAGGCTGCTCTCAAACAGAGACCATGAAGATGCAAAGAGTAATTCTTTCAGAAGAAGGATAATCTCAGCTTTTTTTGGAGCAGCAGGTCAGTCAACTAAAGTTTGATTATTTCATCTTTAAACACACACACACACACACACCACACACCCACACACACACACACACCACACACACACACGCACACACACACACACACACACACACACACACACACACACACACACACACACACACACACAACTTTCTCTTTGACAGAAGTGGACACACCCTGAGGTGAGCTTAATGCAAAGTAAAAAATACGATGTTGATAAAAACCCATTTGGTCAGCGGTTAGTCGAAGGTGATACAGAAACTGTCAACGATGCAATAAATCTCTGCAAGACCCAAGAAAATGTTTATTATGTGAAGTAAAAGTAAATACAAATTGCACTTTGGCAGTACAACAAATACACAGTATAAAAGGTTTGACATTAAAAAATACATTGTTTAATCTTGTATTGCAGTATATATGATACAACTGAACTTACTTATGAACCTTTTCTTAAATGGATAGTAACAAGACCTTTTTGAAACCCTGACCCCCTCGGAGACCAATACCTTGAACAAACTCCTCCCTTTGATGTGACAGGGGGGCTGCAGGCATCACCGCAGGCCCCTTCAGAAGCAGGATGAATGGTAATTTGATCCCCAAACCATATGCTAAACCCATAAAGCAGTTTTGTCTGCGTGCTGCCTTTCAATTGAAGTTGGCCATCGTTTGTCACACCCCACTACAGTGACTTCCCGGAGCCACTGTTTCCTACCCAATGATCCACTCCATCGAAATGATGCGTTTATCTGTAATCTCATCAGACCCTTTGAAAAATGTTTAACAGCAGTGAGCCCACACGTGATTGTTTCATTAGATATTCCTGTTGAATTTTGTTGTGCAGAGAGAAAACACAGAAAGAAAACTGATTGATTTACATTTTAAGCTAATTTATTTAACACAAAATCTGATGTTGACTTTTCGGTACCACTTTACAATAAGACTACCCTTATAAGGGGTTTACGAATAGTTTGTAATTCATTTATTAATTAGGTTGTGAACACTTTATAAATCATTAATAAGCTTTTATAAGACATGAGATAAACAGGGCAACTGTGACCGGTTGCTTGCCAAATAGAGAGCCCACATTTATCTGTACTGCTAAGCCTTATATTGGCTACCTAGCTTACTTCGTCTTCTTCATCAGCCAGCATCCTTGGTATCTGTTGTTCACTGAGTTGATTCTCGCTAAGTAGCCAATATAAGGCTTAGTCATCTTGCCAAATAGTGAGCCTGTGTTGATGTGTGAAAACTATGTTAGAGCTGGTTTAAAAATGGTTCATAACCTAATTATAAACCCTTTATGAATCCTTTATAAGGGTAGTCTTATTGTAAAGTGGTACCGACTTTTCTAATACCTTAAAATCCCATGTATGTCTGATTTAAATCAATGTTGAACCACAATTTTATTATAGACTTCAGCCAATATTTATGTCATTAGAGTTTCTTGTACCAGCCCTCCGGCTACATCTATGATTTTTTATTAAACCCATGTTTTGACATGTTGCCATTGTTTTTATTTACTAATGTCATATTTTTCACAACAAAATCAGAAAGCCAGCATCCATCAGATATATTGTTATGTGACATGCCCCAAAACAGAGCAAATTGTGTTTTCTTTTTGTAAGACAAGGTAGGAAAAAGTGTATTTTTTTCTTTCTTACAAAGCATTTAAAACCCTCCTGTTGTCTTCGGGTCAAATCTGACCGATTTACTACTTTCATCAATCATAACTTTTTTGTTTTACATTCGATTGCATTAAGGCTTTATGATATCCTTCACAGTAGACATTTGAACATATACAATTGCTGATCACCACTTTCATTGAATTTTGGATGATTTAGTCAACTTTGTAATACCAATGGTGTTCCCATAAAGAAAAGGAATTAGTAACCATCCGGATCAGATAAAACACACACACACCCACACACCCACACACACACACACACACACACACACACACACACACACACATATATATATATATACACACACAGAACAATGACACATTTCCCGCTCTTATGTGCCCATCCCCCCACATGGATCACACCTGGCACACGCAATACATGTTCAGTGTCTTTGTATATTTACTGCAGTTGTTCATGTATACCAGTAGTCTGATACAATATTTACTTTTTGAAAGGGTGTTAAATGAAATTTGGTGATGATTAATGGTTTTTGTGTTAATGTAATAGCAGTTAAAACAGGACCGGTCAAATTTGACGGCGAACACCAAAGTAAGGGGGGGAAAACGAAGACAATAGGAGGGTTAAGAACTCCTTAATCCTCAAGTTAGTCTATTTTCCAGCAGTTATAAAAGTGGTGGATGTTGTGAATCGTAGGGAGATGTTTTACAGCCCAAAACTAGCTCTGAAATGTAGTATAACCTTAACAGAATTATTCAGAGGTAACTCTTGGAATGTTTTTGTACTACTTCAGCAGAAGCAAAGACCTACATTAAAATGAATGATGGATTGCAAGCTTTGCACTGTTTGTGCTAGACCAGCGCTGTTCATTTCAAGATAAGACTTTGCTTGACTTTTGTAAAGTGGTGCTGTCCCTTGAATAGGCTCAATCTCTTCTTCCTGTTATTATAGCTTCATTTAAAGTGAATGTGAATGTTTTGCATTTTTAATATTTCTTTATTTTTATGGGATTTAAAGACTTATATATTATGCCCTGAATCAAAGAGATGTAAACATATAAAAAACATATATTCTTTGTTTTGAAACAATAAATGTCTTCAAAGGAGCAGCATCCCTTTAAGGGTTATTTGTGTTTGAATGCTAAGTGTTTTATATGGCATGCAGTCAAACATTATAAACTGAGTTAGACAAATACTTAAGGCCTTGGGCTATTCCTGTCATCCATTTACCTTTACAATAACTAAACCTCTGCCCTCACAGTTTATGAGGGTGGCCGTTATGGCTCTCAGCTCTCAGTGGGCCTCATCCTGACCGCAGAGCATGTTGCCTTTGGCTGTGGGTCTACACACATGGCACACACAGTTGTGATACAAAGCTATTTTTTTAAACACACGCTTTTCTTTCTCTTTCTGTACTTTCTTACAAGATAAACTCAAAGGGTCAGCTATCACAGTGAAGCAATGAGAAAAACAATCACAAAGTGTAAAAAAACAAGTAAGAAAAACAGGATAGTTTTTTCTTTCTGATACAACTTTTTGATGCTCAATTACTGAATAACAAATACATAATAGATATGGAAGCTGACTGCATTCGGCAACTTTTATTATAAAATTGTGAATTTCTTTGCTTTAAAAAAATATATATTTATTTGCTTTATATATATATTTTTTTAAATATTTGTATTTTAAAATATATAAAATATAATATTCATATCTATTTTAAAATACTGAATAAATCATTTGTATTTATTTATTAAATGCCATCATTGCTCATCTCTTTGTTTATCATGTAGGATGAACGGAAGTGACGACATGCAAATTACCCAAAACATGTTGTGACGGTTTTAGATAAACTATTTTAGCAGTTTAACTCCTTAAACACTTCTCTGTGGTGAATTCGTTGTACGTTACCTATTGTTACAGCAATATAACAAAACTTTAACATTAACTCATCCACTGCTGAACACAAATCGTATAGAGAGGCGAAGTCCCTCCCTTTCCGGTGGACCTCCATGGGACCTTATTTCGGAAAAATTATGTATTGAAGTCAATGGCGAGAGAAAAGTTATCTTTCGATCCCGTTTGAATTGTGCCACGAATTACACATATGAGGTTTGTCAATTTAAAAGATAATTTTGCAAGTAAAAAAAAAAATGTTTGCCGTAAAACTGCGAAGTAACACTTTTTTTGTGTGAAACCGCTCAATGAACTACATCTCTGGTCTCGCACAACAACACACGTCACCAAGATGGCCGTCACTACAGTCTTGCCAAAAAATCACTATCACCACAATTAAACACTTCCAGGAGAATGTCATGCAAAGCTGCCTGCCTGCCTGCCTTCCTTCGATTCTCCCTGAACTGCCTGATATTTTTAATGTTCAATGTTAACCATTTGTGCAGATAGCATGAAGTAGAAAAAGATGTCTCCCCCGGGGGGCATCAGGGCTTAAACGGTGTATTATAGAATGATCACACCGGTGTGACAGTACTCTTCAAAGGGTTCACGAAATATGACTACTACTCTTACTGTTTAACATTTTTGGTTACTTCATGTTACTTCATGTTAAGGCTAATAAAAATGACAAGGCTAAGGCTGTAATGCTAACTAACGTGCTCACTTACGCAACTCTGGGATTTGTAGTCTTTCTAGTTGCGTATTTTTCATAGTCATATATTTCAACAGTTTTCGCCACATAAAGTCAGAACATCAAAATGACGACATTGTTAAAAGTAACAAGAGTTAGACTTCCGGGTTCAAGATTGTGCTTACAAATTAAAACCATTTTCAACTCACACCAACGGATCAGCTTTTATTTTGAAAACAATGAACCGGATATGGTATTGCTGCGGCCGTTAGCTTGACACCAAACACACGCCATGCCCATATGTGTGTCTGGCGTGAAGCTAAATCTATCTGGATCGAGTCTGTTGTTGCTTCAGTAAAGCCAGTCTCCAGGCGGAGTGTGGGACACAGTTTACTGCGAAATGTGTTTTTCTTTCTACTAACAAAACGGGATTTCAAACGTGTGTATTGATGTAGCGTTAGCAGCTTACGTTGACTCACTAAACTCATCCGGATCAGTCAGTAATCCCTTAAATTCAACTGGTAAGTAATGTTAGCTTAAATGTAAAGATTTCTACCACAAAGGCAGTTTCTAACAAAGCATGTGTAAAAAAAAAGCCTTGATTAATAATGGTTATATGTTGGTTAATCGTTAACAAGCTTGTTCCTTAACTTAGCTTAGTTAGCAAGGTCACATAGTCAAAAGATAGGTTGCTACATGGAGCTAACGGTTAGCAAAGCTGTTTTACATCAAGGCAGTGCAGGAGGTTCAAAGGCTTCAGAGGCTTAATGTCATATGCAATGTCAGTAGGTAGTGTAAATATGGCAATGGAAGTCCCGGGCTCCTCCAATAATGCAAAAATAAATATATATAAGACATAAACTATACAAAAATAAATTCTGCAAGAAATAACAGAATATAAATAAAATAGTGTTAGAGAATGTTGCAAGACTAATGTGCAAGTAATGCAGGAGAAGTGAAACATATATATATATATATATATATATATATATATATATATATATATATATATATACATGTGAACGAGAATAATATGAGTAGACATTACTGTGACCTGTTTCAGCACCTGAACGCATCAATTAAAACATGTTATGTCAGAAAGTGGTCGCCCATGCTGACACATGACAGTCTTACCTCGGTAGTTTTCTGTACAAATTCGTGGTTATAATAAGTAGGCGGTGGCAGAGCAGAAGAAGCTAATTCAGATTTTGTATGCATACTGTACTGGACTATATAAGGCGGTGTTCAGCAGGATTTTCAGGTTTTATTCTCTCCTCCCTAGTTTTAGTAACGTTCATTATCTCCAAACCTCCCCAGGATGCTGACAGACTCTTGGGTGGGGCTAACGCGGATCACCGTACACTGGAGCCCAGCCCAGGGATAAATCATACTGCACAGACTCAGTTTAAAGCACCGAGGGGCAGTCAAAAGCCATGACCAAGCCCGAGTCGAGGAAAAGCGGCGTGGCTGCCATGAGCTCCACCAGCAAGTGCGCCACATCCGCCCCCGCCACCGCGCAGGTCAACGACGGTGCGGTGGAGCCGGGCTGTCCGGATCACAGCGCACACATCAAGGCTAATGTGATGAAGCAGACTTCCAGGGAGAGCATGAATTGGAGGAACTGTGGAGTGGATTGTGAAGTCTACGACGACGGGACCAACACCTTTTTCTGGTGAGTGCTTTTTATGGCAATGTCAGGAATAGAAAATGTCAAATACTGACTGCTGCAGCATCTGAGGTGATGGGGTTTGTTTTGATCAGTGACTACATGAGAGTACTTCTAATTCTCAGTGCATGCAGTAAAAGGGGTGACAGCAGTGGTTTATTATAGCTTTCAAGGTGAACTGAAAGACAGGCCCAGGAGATCTCAGTTATCCTGACAAATACAGTGACCTGTCTTACATCTTGTGTGTTTTAATAGCATGTCTGTGGTCAAGAGGAAATGTGAACTTATTCAAATGCAAATAATAAAATGGAAATACTAAGCGTCCACAAGGTGTTGGATATAAAGGTGTATGGCCTGCCAGGATGATATTGATGCTTACATTGCACATCCAAGTGCAGAGCTTGTTTGTCGACAAGCCAATAGCCAATATCCTAGCCTGCAGCTTCAGCAGAAAGATATCCATGACAGATTTGAAGTGGAGACAGGGTATTCTGTCATGGCGGCCAACAGGAGGAGTGAGTCCTGTATTCACCCCGCACTGACACAAATGCATACACAAGTGCGGGGACATGTGCAGGATGCAGGTGTTACCATGTGTGGGCACGAGGATAGTCTGGAAAAGTGACATACTGTTCGGCAGTCCTGCTGAAAATACTGCCACCATGGGTCATCAACCTGTCGTGAGAAGAATATATAAGCCTGAGTAAGTGTATGCCTGTCTCATCTGTGCTTTGTGTGTAAAGCCGTGCTTCTGTGTGGAAAGCAAGGGCAGGAAGAATCTGCAAAAGCTATCCAATATCGTTGACAGCACAGGAGACTGGTGTTCCCTGAGAGAAACAATTAGTGAGGATTCCTCATTACTGTGTTACCCCCTCTACCTCCTAGGTTTCCTGTTAGTGTATTACTGGAGGCTTTAACAGGAACAAAGACGCTCAAATACTTTGGTCTATTCGGGATATGAAAGTAGGCCAGCATCCTGCAGTATAGAATGATTTCTATTATACAGTATAGCCACCATATGCATATCAATTAGGTCGACTAAATACTTGAAACTCTGCAGTATAATCAACAGCACCGTAACATATGGTTTAATCAGCACTTTGTACTTAACACTGAAATTGTTTCAACACATATGTAAAACATAATGGTTATGGTTGAATGCAGAGTTGTTAAATTAGACTGCAATTGGTTGTTTAGTCAAATAATAAGATGCAAAATGCAAATACAGTATTGACAATCTTTAGGTCACACGTTCATACACTGTAGGCAGATGCTACCATACAAGGTGCGGCACCTGCTCATCAGTTTGTACATACATTCACACACTTACACACAGATGGCACAGTCTTTCGGAGCAATTGGGGTTAAGTACCATGCCCAAGGACACATCAACATGTTGACTGCAGGGACTGAGGATCAAACCAGTGACCTACTGATTCAACCACCCCTCCCCCTGAGCCACAAACGCCCTTTGTTGCTTGTTATTTATGTGAATGCTGGTCAGAATGTCTGCCTTACTGTTTGCTTGGCAGTCCCAGTCTGAGGTAATTGATAATGAAGAATGTAGCTGTTGAACTTCTGGTCAAGTTAAAATCAGGATTTGCATGGCAACCTGGCTGAGAATGCATGTGTGTAAACGGGGAAAATGTAATTAAATGTATAATGTGTAGCATCTTAGTCCTCCCTATCTGTCATAAGACATAGAAATGCACATTAGGCAGTCAATCTTTTTTTATAAATGCGCTAATGCTACCCGCTACCTCAAATTAAACCCTAGTGGACACTTGACTTTGGTTAACTGTGAAGAAAGAGTGTTTAGCTAACCACAAATCCCCAATTGAAATAAAGGAAGTAACTAGATCTGAGTGGTTTGAAGTTCATTTCCTGTCATGCGGTCAGGACCGAAGCACATTGGCTGTGTTGTGGGAGTCTCCCAAGTGTTACACAGATACACCAATATATTTGAACAGTTTGTTGATGGTGTCAGTTTCCTGTGGTTGTTAAGGAAGATAACCATGTGTCATGCAGCTTGCCTTATTAGCACAGATTGGAGTGGAGGGAATATTTTTTTCTGAGGAAAGAGGAATAGCTCAGAGATCCTTTTATAGAAGTCCGCCTGATGAAACCACATTTTGTGCTGGCACACTACTTTTGATGTATCCCTAAATAGCTTTGCTGCCCACACATTTTAGTTTCTACTGACACTGCTTCGTGCATTTTCGCTGCTGACAGTGTTAAGTTTAAAAAGTGTTATGTATTTTTAGATGCATTTTCAGACCAGAACTGATAAGTTATAGTTGTAACACCACTTTAAAGAAAACTCACAACAGGATTTATGTCACAGGGCCAGTGAACCTGTGATTTATAACAAATTTAGATCATAAATAACAGATTATACTCTGTTCAAATATATAAAACAAAAAAATCAAGCATTTATGAAATAATGTCACGTTTTAAGCTTGGTAAAGGTACACACTGATTTACTAAAGCCTATTCATTCACTGCATGACAACATTAGGCTTTTCTTTGCATATACTCTGATTGATCATTGTTAAATATGACCATATTTGGATCTAACTCCTATCTATTAATATAATATATTGTATTTCAACTTTATGTCTAAAGTGTTAGACTTGCCAACATTAAATTGATTGTCATTTGTGGTTTTAGTTGGAATTATTTGTCATATTAATGTCTTACTTTCAAATGTGCAGCTTTTTTATTTGATACATCCTGACCTTGATCTGTTCTATAATTCTACATCTGTATGTGGCACCTTTTTGTTTTTGGAGTTTAGACATGTTTGGACTTCTGGCAGATATGTTTATGACCAGTTTAAGAGTCAGTTAAAACAATCTAACCCCGGGAGATATTAGCAGAAATAGTGGCGGCACACAGCATGAACACTTTTTATACCAACATTGTTTGTACCCTTCCTTGATGAAGCTTCAAATTAAACCGTCACCGTTGTACGACTTCAGTTCCAGCTTCAGCCTTTTTGTGTCTTCCAGTGATAGAATTTCCATCATCGTCTTAGACTGTCTTTAACCTGTAGCTTGTTTTCTCTGGATGTTCAGCCTCCATCCGAGGGGTGAATCTGGTTCTGAGCTCAGGCTGGTGTCGTGCGCTCCTCTCCTCTCCCGGTGGTGGTGAGTGGTCGTTGGGTGAGAGAGGAGCCAGGCCCTCCCCTGTGTCTCCTGACAAACTGGTTGGATGAGGAGGTTCATCTGGGATAAATTGCTAACGACACCTGGCGTGCCGTCTCCGTGACTCAGACCCCGAGACGGAGAGCAAGAGAGCGGTTGGCGCTCTTTAGGTTGATGCATAACAGCAATAAGCTCAATACAAAATGAGGGTCTTTTTAAACCATTGCTTATCGTATGATTGAGTATCCTTAAATAATAAAACTGCTGGTGATTTATTATTTTGTTACTTAATAGGGTTACAAATGATATGAGATAATATCGTGCCATACCCATGATTATTTTTATTATCAATTATGGCCCTTAAAGTAATAAACATAATTATTATAATAATCTTATTGTAAACCTGATGAAATTATAGCATCTAACTATAATAGGTGATATGATGCATTAAGTTTACATGTTAACAGCACTATAGCATTCTATAGTTAATGAAAAATAATATCAACTGTGAGTTTTTAAAATAATGTTGTGATTATAAACTATTAACAAACAGTAGATGGATGCACTGCTCCTGTCTGTGCTTTTAACACACACACCCACTTATTTCAGTTGTCTTCAATAGTGTAAAAAAGCAAATGGTAGGGTAACCATCAATTTTCATACCATGCTGTGTTGTGAAACGGGTATATATAGTGCTTTAACCCTATCATTTAAGTCGCCTGAAGAGACAACTTGTGTTTGTAGCTACAGTCTGAAACCGCTGATGCCTCTGTTCCACTGACATTAATAAATACAAAAACCCATATAAAACAGACACACCCATTGCACCTGGTGACATTTTCCCTAATGACAGTAAACATGGACAAAGTATTTCTGATGATGATGATGATGATGAAATCTTTGGAGGATGGCTGTGTTAAGCAAATGTCACGAAGCAGGGAAATGGTTTGGTGTTACGCATTGGTAAAAGTTGTTCTAAAAAAAAAAAAAAAACGTGTTCACTGTTTATGGTCAGCTGCTGTGTCAGGCCTCCATCTGTTGTGTTTTCAGCCAGCTGACGACCACTAATCCTACTCACCATCACACACACTCTTTCATTGTCTTATTATCTATTTCCAAACCACACACTCGCTCAACATCATGGACACAACCAACATACTGATGCCTCAAAGAAGTTAGCAATGCATTTTACTTAAAAAAAGTAATCTATAAATGAATAAAACTTGATGCTAAACCAAGCTCGCAGTTCACGCGCGTGCTCCACTAGCACCCCCCCCGCCAAGGCTCGCCGGCAGTACACTTTCTGTCACAGCTTTGCTTTGCTGGCGGCGAAAAGAATCCCACCAGACTCCTTTGCCCCTCCAACAGAGGGATGTCCTTGTCCTTTTTCCTTTTCGTCATTTCAAGCTATGAAAACTCTCAATCTTCTCTCGAATTATAAACATTTTTTGGACGCCCTCGGCTCGAGTTCAGGGCGTTCCGAGCTGAATAAGGGCGATAATGACGGCAAGACGCCCCCCTGGCGGAAACGCTGTTTGACACTATTGTAATCATTACCCTTTTCCGACAAGAAGACACCGACAAGTTGAGTTAGAGAGATGTGTAGCTTAATGAATATGTGTTTGTTATACTGTATAGTGGGACCAAACACTAGTTCAGCAACAATTTAGAGGGAATGTGCTCTGTACCCGCAACATGCTGCTGCAATCAAAGCCAAATTGCTTTATAATCGTCTTTACATAAAGCAGCACTGGTCGCAATACTCATTAATGCCCGATACTTGTCATCTCATTAGGTTAATTGACACTGCTGGCCGTTGTTTATTTATTGCTCAGTGAGCTTTGTGGTTCATGGGCAGGTCACTGGCTCACAATGCTGTTTGCTGTCGGTGTTTGAACTGATCTGCATGGAGCGCTTTCAACAGCTGGGGATCCCTGAGCAAACAAACACAGAACAGGCACAAGGTCAAACGTTCAGAAGGGCTTCAATCGACCCTGAACACAACCTTGGACACTGATAAATACTGTCCGATCCATCCAAGTATAGTATAACACATCAATATAACTCCTCCACTGCTCTATACAGTATTTTGCATGTCCCTGTCAGCCTGCCAAAGACCATTCAACGGCTTATCCCGATTTCTATTTTTGAGAATTCCTAGGGTAGTCCATTACATACTATATATACATACCGATTGTGGCTCATATCAATTAGTGGACTAATACAATGTTGCCCCTTGAGTTCAGATACGTCCCACATATAGCATGTGTTGGAGCTATATATCTCTTTATATTATTTAATAGTTTAACATTTATTCTCTTGCTGTTTATTGTAAATGTATTATTAGTTGGTGTCATAAGTTAAAGTAGTTTCTATGCTTTTATTTTGAAGGCATGTTTGGACACTGGGTGATTAGAGCACCTGGTGTAATTGTATATATTGGAGACAGGTGGAGGTGGGAGCCAGACCAGGGTGTTTCAAGCCACACATAGGAAAGGCTAAAGGAAAAGAGATATAGGAAACCTGTTCATTGTACTTTGTTATTGGAATAAAATGCACAAATGGAGGTTCTTGTCTGGACTTGGATGATCATTGCCCTGCGTAAGATCCGCTAACTAGTGCCTCAGCGGCTGTATTATTTAAAGTTAATTATCTGTTTTATTTCTATATGATTTTGGCCGCTACAGCATGTATGTATGATCTGTGATTTTCTGTAGTGTGTAACTGTCGTACGGCTAAGGCTAAGGGTTGTTTCCTGCCACCGGGTGATATAGGAGATGTACGCTTATGGCCAACGTGATAAAAACTCAACTCGCTTTTAAACTCAAGTTCAAATACAATTTATTTTCCGCAAGTTTAACAGACCCTGCTGAAGTCCAGACTATTTTTTGACATCTATTGCTCCATTTAAGTGATAGAAAACATTGAACTGACTCGTAAAATCCATTTTGTTTGCTACACACCCTCTTTGTAACTATTTTCCGCTGAAGTAACCCAGTTTCTGACCAGACATCTGTTTTCTCTCATCTCGACTTCCTTCATTATATATTCTTCTGGTTATTAGACACACAGATTTTCCACACTCACGCTAAGGATCTTTACAATCCTTTTTTTTTTAATGCTCAACAATCTGTTCTGATTGTTACAGTGTATTAAGGGGCCTACACTTTATGAATACCTGAAATTAGCATTATACGTCCTCTTTAATATTGCTATTCGTTTTCCTGTGTGACCTCAAATACTGTCAGACAGTGTTTTTCTCTCCAGCAGCTTTTCCTCTTGGCACGTGTTATTAATATCCCTCTGTCTGTCCCTTCTGTCTCTGCAGGCGAGCCCACACTGTGACGGTGCTGTTCATCCTGACCTGCGCTCTGGTCTATGTCACGCTGTTGGAGGAGACCCCCCAGGACACGGCCTACAACACTAAGAGGTCAGTGGGCTCGCCAAAACCCAGCAGGAACATCCGGCTGCACTCATACAGTCCACCTCATCCACTGAGGCCTTTTGATGGGACTGAAGTTAAACATAATTATTTTGACTGCAGTTTATCTTGAGAGGAAACTTTATTAGTGATCAGCATCAAAAATATGTAACTTTATTTTTGTCTTTTAAATGTTTTGTCATCCTGGGTTTACATTTGGATTTGTTTCCCTTCCCTGTATTGGGTCGGATTAATCTCAATGTAAATAAATGCACAGATATTTAAAGTTTCATATAAATGTAAAAAACATCCATATAAATAAAAATGTGGATGTGGTTGCATTTATTATATTATTATTATTATTATCAATATAACTTTATTGATTAAGGACCATGCATACAAATCCATGAATCTAAAGAAAGAAAATATGTGTATGCCAGATTATAGCTTTAACCTAATCGCCATCTGCATTTTGTAATATTTCAATCAGCCATTAACCACCACTCCTTTTTTCTTATTTGAAATAACTGTATGTCAGTACAAAGGCAACAGTTTGAGTGTTAGTCAATCTTTTGTGGATCATGTCAGATTCAAACCCTGATGAATAGGTCCCATAACAAAACCAGCCAATAAGAACCACAATGTTAATCTCACGTTTAGCACCGTTTGGGATGAAGCCAGAGCCACACCAACGTGGGTGGGGTGCAGAATGAACCACTCCCCTCCTCCGAAGCTCTCACTTTGAACCCAGCTGGCCCTCTTTCAAGGCCACATTTTTCACAGAAAAACTAAACCCTGGTGGCCATGGAAAGGAATATCAGAGATATCAGGTCACTGTTTCATTAAACTAACATAGGTATTGCACTGTCTACCCTTCAGTGTGTCAGAAGTCAAAAAGAGCAAAGTGGCTGGTTTTGTTTGTGACGTTATGAAATGAAGAGGAAAACTGTACTGCTGTTGCTTCTCATTCTACTGCGCAGTGTTTTATCAAATTAGCTGGCTGTTTTTTTTATTTTGAACATACTGTTTCTCTCTGTTCCCTCCACCCTCAAGTTGTTGTGCAATTGGTTACAGAATACAGACTCAAATTGTGTGTTAAAGTTCAGCAAAATTGAAGTCATGCAAAGATTCTTCTAGAAAATAACAGCATGGCGTTAAATTAAAACTATTTTGGACAGAAGAAGTGGCTATAGTGTTGTAACCAGACCCGGCACCAGAACAAATCTACAGAGAGGGCATATGATTTTCATGGGAGGGCACACAAAACCGTGATGTGCCGCGGCCAGTGGCGGCGCCAGAGATTTTCTTTTGGGGGTGCTGTGGGGTAGCTTGACGTTTCATAGAGGGTGCTCAAACATTTAGGGTTTCCCATTAATGGCGCGTTTCCACTACAGCGCGGAGCACGGTTTAAGAGGGCTGTGACGTCAGCGGCCCGTCTTTGGTTGCGTTTCCACTTGGCCTAGTACCGGCCGGCGGGTCCTAATTCACAGTTTTTCTGGCCTCATAAAATCGCGGGTCTAGGGCCAGAGACAACGAGGCTGAGTCGGGCTGAGTATGCTAAACTAGAGAGAGCATCGCTGGCAAGGGGGCTACAACTACAACAAGATGGACATATTTGACCATGATTTAATTGTAATACACGTTTCAAAATGATGCCGAAGTAACAACATACTGATACCGGTTAGTAAAAACCATGAATTAATGCTTTGTCAAGTCTGCAGACAGACGGCAGGGGAAAACCTTTTAAAATGCGTGTGTTCTAAATGGAGATTGGCTAAGCTAACGCAGTATATGCTCCGACCGTCCACACTCACAACAACGGCCTATACAGACATAAATAAAGCAGCGACTGTATTCGCCATGACACAGACAGTCTGTGGTTTGTACTTGTTTAACGTTTGTCTAGTTTCTGAACAGATATGAGGAGCTGTGAGCTCTGAGTGCTAACAGCTAACGGCTGTGTTGTTTTTCTGGGGTCCTCTGAAGATCACGTCACGGCTCCGCCTACACTGCGTTACTATAGATACTACCCCAGTTCCTAAACTGTAATGGAAATGCGCCATAAGTGAGCCAGTCCTAACGAGGCCCAGCCATACCGAGCGAGGCCGAGCGAGGCCGTGTAGTGGAAACGCGCCATAAGGTACCGGTCGCTACAGTGGAATTTTCTACTGCAACAATCCCCACGCACATACACAGTACACCCGCGACTGTTACAATGAAGGCTCGATAATCAGCTCACGGCATATAGGTGACGTGTAAGCAGGGGTAAAGTGCTATTTTCTTTAAGTGGGGGGTGGACCTAACCTCCTCTAGGGGGGTCTGGGGACATGCTCCCCCGGGAAGATTTTGTTTTAATATTGAAGTTAAAAGCATCAATCTGGTGCACTTTGAGAGCAACATGAAGAGATCTATGGATACCTCTCTCAACACCCATATGAAACAGAACTGTAAACAGATTTACTTTTTCTTCATAGATATTTTACAAATCACTCTCCTTTTAAACTGTATTCTTGTTTTACTGTCATATAGTATTTCATACCTGTTTTTCATTTATTACTCTTATATTACTATCTGACATCACATACATCGTAGCATTAAAGTTCACAGTTTATTTATAATTTAAAAAAATCTCCCTGGCCCTCCCACGGCGCCGGGTCTGGTTGTAACATCACAATTCAACAATTTTTTCAAATTTGAATTGCCTCGATTTGGAGCGGTATTGATAACATCCCACATACATTTGAACATAAAGAAATATTTTTTTAACTGATTGAATTTGTTTACTTTCGGCAACTCATCTTCATCATGTCGGTCACGAGTTTACATATTTTTCACGCTGGTCTGATAACAGCCTTCAGAGTTTCTCTCTTTTCCAACAACACACAACTTGGCTCTGATAAGAGTTTTGCTTGATGCAAGAAAAAGCTGTCTTTGTTTAATGACCTCAAGTGAACTAAAAGAAAGAGGAAGTTGCTTGAAATGAACAGCTTTCAGAATTTTAAATGAGCTTTTAAGCAAAAGCTTCTCTTTGTGTGGGCGTTTATAAGGCATGAAAAGCACAAGCAAACTGCATACATGATAAGTGTGTTTGTGACGGAGTTTGTTGTTTGTTTGTATGTTGGTGTTATTGAGGGATTATGGGATGGTTCTTAATGGGATTTGCTGCAGTCAGCACAGTCCAGCTTGTCAGGATAAATACCCGAGAGCTTCTTCACTACAGAAAGACATCTGTTCAACAGATCCCATAGAACTAGTTGTACAGTACGTTGACAAAATCGTCATTATAATCCCTTAGATTCATTTTTATAATCTACAACCTTTAATGCAAATGTAGTTTAGTTCGAACAGAAAGCTGGGTTCCTTTAATAGTCTGCGCTGTTATCAGCTGCTCCAACATCACTTTTAGGGTAAATATAAAGTAGAAGCCACCATCCACTGTTCTACAATATCTTTTTTTATCTTCTTGATTCTCTTATTGTATTACATCTTCATTGCCACTTTTCCAGCATATCTCTGGCTAGCTAAGTTCTATGTTTCCTGTAACTTTACAGTATTGTGTTTTTCCTATATTCATTACACAATGTATTTATTTTGACTATAATGTAATGCTGGCAGATAAATCTATTAAATACATTCATTTAAATGTATGCTTTTTGGCAATGTTTGAACGTGAAAATCAAGTTTTAAGTTGGGTCATTACAGTATGGAAACTTATACATAGCAGTTAATAGAAAACAGGGTTTTTTCAGTGTTCTAGTTAATCAGTTGCTGGTTTTGTTCATAGTAATAGTGATATTACATTACATTACATGTCACTTGTTAGACGCTTTTATCCAAAGCAACTTACATACTCAATGTGGACAGGAGCAATTTGGGGTGAAGTGTCTTGCCCAGGGACACAACGACATGCTGACTGCAGTGGGGTTTGAACCTGTGACCCCCTGATCTGTACACCAACGCACAACCCACTGCACCACACGCCTACCTGATATAGTATTGTATAACACAATTTTGAATTGCATGTTTTTGTGTTTCTTTGTTTTGGCCCTGAAGAGGAATTGTGGCAAGCATCCTGGTGTTTCTCTGTTTTGGAGTGACGCAAGCGAAAGATGGGCCCTTCACCAGACCACATCCAGGTGAGAATGGCACAGTCCAAACATGATTTACCCCTGTTTTATGGCACTATTAAATCATCTTCATGACATGTATCTCAGTTACACCAATACAATATTCTTCAGTTTTAAACAACATACAGAACGGTGCAAGGCATGCCAAGATTAAGAATGAATTACATAATGGGAAAGGTCAAAACCCATCTATTAACAGCCTCTTAACTATAAAACACACATTTACAAACTGACATATTGAAAATACATCTGCCATTACAGTAATCAACAAGAACTGTATACTGTACGGCATGCTGTTATCAAAAGAAGCCCCTGTGTTGTCGGACATTATGATGTGTGTATTATCGGTTACTCCATTACCTTCCTGTGTAGAGGGGTACCTAAGAGCAGTTGCCTCTAAATAAATCAATACCAACAATTCAGAGTCTCATGTTGGCTGATAAGATCCTCTGAGTGCTGGGAATCAATACACACTATGGCTTGCTTAATGTGATTGTAACATTAAGGAGACATCTGAGTAAATGCAAGAAGGGGGGGTGTTTTCCTGGCATAGGACAGGTCCGAATCCCCTAGAGAAGAAATGAAACACACTTGATGAACATCTTCATCACATTTTTTTGACGTCTCTCCTGGCTTAGAGCAGTAATATAAGTCAAGGACTTCAGTGCTCAATCAATATCTTAAGTTTTAACATGGTGTTAATGGAGCATTCTCACACTTAATAAACACTTACTCCAAGAGTTCAGTGAACTGAAATGCAGAAAGAGGGACATGAAACTACAATTTACAAGGTGTTTCAGCTGATTTTAACTTTGTTTTGAGAGCATCAGTGTTGTTTTAAAGTTTTTGTGAATATTGGTGGTGACATGGATAATGTGTCAAAGCATTTTTTAGATTGGAGAGTTTTTTTCAAACTGTGACACTATGTACCTCCTTTTTTTTAATCTGCTAAACTATAAAGGGATGCTTCTATTTATACAAGTGCAGTTCACAAGAGTAGTTTGTTATTTAGGTCATCAACATGTTTCCCAATAGCTCCTGAGGGAAAATAAGGAAGGAAGATAGCAGGGTGGGGAAGTCAGATGGAGACGCACTCTGAATGTTGTTCGTTGAAGTAGCCCGGCAAGAATCTGGGCTGTTGTCGTTGCCTTACTTCTGCCCTCGTCCCCCCTCCCTTTTGGTAAACAGAAGGGTTTTTTGTTTCTGTGTGTGTGGAGGGACTGAGTCATGCTCCCTGACCTGCGAGCCAGCCAAGTAGGTTGGGTTGTTTTTCACCTCGGTGCTGTTCTGCTGAAGCTCCAGAGGGACTTTAAGATTTACACCCTGCTACTCCGGGTGGATCACCTGCTGGGAGTGTAACAGCCCACACATCGATACACAAGAAATGACTACTGTAGAATAATGACATTGTAATTTAATCCTTTTGTAGGTCATGTATTATGGGTTGGCTATGATAGCTGTGGGCTTTAATTACATCCATTAATAGTCCTTTCACAAGTGAACTTTAAAGGAAGCCAGATTCTCTGTTGCAATCCCTCTGACTGTGGTACTCAAATGTTATTGGATTCAACTGTCTCCTTGGGGATAGAAGAAACACTCTGTGAAGTATTTATTAGGAACAAAATGAAGCTATTATTCAGGGGGATTCAGGGATTTTAATAATGAAGAAGTATTTAAATCAGCACATCTTAGAATCACAAGTTAATTTGGCACTTATACACACAGCCATGTGTGGAGTGTGAGAGAGAAACTCCCTCTGGAGGGAACTTTGGGATTTTAGCCTTTTAGATGCACAAAAACCTACATAACACACTACAGGAAAGGGAAAACCCCCAAAAGCACAATAAGGCCCCTTTTTAAATGCATCTCTCAGATAACATTCAGACTATATAACATGTTAATAATCTTTTATCTGCCACCCTAAATCTTCAGAGAAACTCAAACTTAAGTTATCAATTCACAGATGACATCCAACATGTTTAATTGTTACATTGTCGTGAGTAGCTTGCTGAAACTCTCACCCCTTTTCTTTCTCTCTGTAGCATACTGGAGGTTCTGGCTGTGTGTCTCTGTCGTCTACGAGCTGTTCCTCATCTTCATCCTCTTCCAGGTTGGTGTGCTGGTGATATGAAAGCTGAAACCTATTCTCAGAATGTACATGTTCTACTGGACCTTATTTGTGACGTAGTGTCTGCCCCCAGAACAAGGCAGTACAAGTTATTTTATTTTAACTTTGTGGACATTCACATTTAAAGGGGACCTATCATGCAAAATGCACTTTTTGATGTGTTTTATACATAAATATGTGTCCCCGGTGTGTCGGGGAACTCACGCAGCGTCAGAAAATAAAACCCTCTCTCTTTTCCTCCGTACCCAAATCTCTAAAAACGGGGCTACAACGGAGCTGATCCAGATTTGCGTCCGATATGACGTAATATCTGAAATGTAGGCTGGCTTTACACCCACGGCCCTATCAGACACAATGCCCGACTGTTTTGGACGTAATATGGTCGGTGCATGTTTACATTAGCATCGCTAACACTCAGAGCTAACCTGTACTGGAGAGCATGTGTGTGAAGAAGCAGGAAATAAAAAGGAACTCACCTTGTGGTATAACCGGCAAGAGAGAAAGCCTTTGAGCTCCATACTGTTTCAGAAATAATCCTTGATAATCCATGATATGGCGTTTCATCACCGCAGTATTTAGTTTAGACAGTAGCTGCCGGGTCCCGCATGAGCTCAGACCCCTCCTTTTTTATTTTTTTAAAGCTTTATACCCCAAATCAGCACTTTTGAAACAGGAAGTGAAATAGAGGGATATGAGGCATGGCTAGAATGGGTGATCTGTTTGGTATTTTGTGCAAAACACTTCATAGACATGTTTTTTATATATTTTTATATATCTGAGACCTATGCTATTGCCTAAAAATAGCATGATAGGTCCACTTTAACTTTTGTTTTTTAAATCAAGGATTTGTGTCCACTAGCCAAAGAGAAGATCCTCAATCCTGCTCTTATGAGGCAGAGTTCATATACTGTATATCTTTAAGCCAGGACTTCACACTGGCCCAGATAGAGGATTTGGTTAAAAGGTCTTCTCCAATGTGCTACTTTTTCTGCTGGCGTCATCCCACATGTGGAAGCCTCTTTGCACTTTTCCAGTTAAATTAAAATGTCACTGAGCCAGAACCTTAACATGGTAATACTTAAAAGAAGTGTGTGTCTGGATATTGTTAAAACTGTTAATATATTCAAGCCATCTACTTTCTTCACTCATGCTAGGGAAATTAAAAGTCTAGCATTATGAAATCCTCTTGTAAAAACTGTAATGATGTACGACAAAGAAGTATCATTTATAAAAGCATTTATTTAAAAGGACGTGTTGATTTAAATGTAAGCATATTGAAGAGGTTTAATAATGTTTTCCAATTTTGTACAACACTGTAGAAGGGATATACAGTGAGAACTTATTCTATAGTTATTTCTGTAGTATATTTGCTAAATGATTTGCACTTGTTTCAGTAGACCTTGAGCTTCTAATACTATAATTATTTCTATATATCTCAGTTTCTTTTATAATATTCAATGACGACAATCGGTCTCAATTTGGCTCTGTTTTTATGAAAGCTAAATTTCAGGTAACATAATTGCTGACACTTTCCATAATCCTCCTCACATTGTCCCCCAGACGGTGCACGATGGACGACAGTTCATGAAGTACATCGACCCCAAGCTGGGGGTCCCGCTGCCGGAGCGCGACTATGGAGGAAACTGCCTCATGTACGACCCGGGCAACACCACAGACCCCTTCCACAACATCTGGGTAAGACTATTTAAATGTAAATGTGACATTTATTATCCAGGGAAGACCTTAAGGTACTTTTAAATATGTAACCAATGCACCTGATGTCTTTTTTTCAGTAATAAAGATGGTGTGACTCATGTGTGAGTGAACATGTGGGTAAAAGCTTTCAGTTTGACACATATTTAAAGGTCACCTATTATGCAAAATCCACTTTTTCATGTCTTTTATACATAACCATGTGTCCCCTCTGTGGAAAGAGATTCTGAAAGTTTCAGGAAAAAAGATTCTCTCTCTTTTTGTCCTGATCCATTTATATAAAAACCTGTCTGAAAATGAGCTGATCAGATTTTGGCCACTTTATGATGTCATAACGATTTTTTGGCTTGTGTAACCATTAGCCAATCACCAACCAAGGTAACCCCCCCCCCCTTATCACCTGAATCTCCTCCTAGAGCACCATTGTGTTCTTTTTAACCAAATATCTCTCAGAGGGGCGTGGGGAGGGGCTCCTTATTTTCATCTAAAGTAACAGACAGAGAATCAGCACTTTTGAAACAGGGCTGAAACAGAGGGGATTATGGGATGCTGCAATGATCTGTTTGGTGTTTGGAGCCAAACACTTCAGAGACATGTTTTGTATATATCTGAGACCTATAATATATTGATGAAAAACAGTATAATAGGGGACCTTTAACATTTGCAGTGCCATTAATGAGTATTTAAAACTCTAACCGGCCACTTATTTGGATTGGTCTTGTTATATATATTTAGCTACCTTTTGCCCTTTATTATTACTCATAAGGAAATGACCTTGATGACCTCTGGTAGTGAGGCAGCCTAAACTAGTCTGTTTCTTTCCCTCATCCCTTCACACACTCATTCTCCTCCTCCTCTTCCCGTTTGACACTAGTTCTCCCTCCCTGTCTCTGTCTCCTTTTGCTTTCTCCCTGTTTCTCTCTTACACACATGCACAAACCCATAGTTATTGTGCTGGCTGGCTCCAGAGGCTTGTGTCTGGTGCAGATTATAGACCCAGGCCTTCTTCCCCCCTGGGGGCCGCTGCCACGATGATCCCCCACCCCCGCCTCTACTGTTGGCCTGATTTCAGTCCTTGAGAGTGGGTCAAACTCACCACATCCTGCACTGAATTACAGCCAGCTTATGTCAATAACCTTTTAAAACTGTCGAATTATGACCACGTATTTTGAATAAACTTAATTTATTTTGAATATTAGACACATTTGGACTGATAGGTTAAGAAAAACTATGGACAGCATTTCTCTCTGCACAGTAATTCAATGTAGTTGAGCTATGCTGTTTAAAAACACATTGGTTTTGGAGGCATTTTATTCCATTTCTGTGTTTTATGATGCCCAGCTAAGGTATGAGCTGCTCAGTGACCCAGAGCTCACTGTGCTCATGTCTGGTTACTACCAATGTGACCTAGATGTCCTACTCATTATAACAGAGAGAGTAGGACGGCAACTAATGATTACTGTTGTTATTGGTTGATCTGTTGTTTTAATGATCAATTGTTTGTGCTATAAAATATCAGATAACAGTGAAACATGTTTTATTGATTCTCAGGACAGATTTGAACATGATAAAAGTAGTTGACACTTTTGGTGAAGAGAACTTGTTAAATAAACTGTTGGTTTGTCTCTACAGGACAAGATAGACGGCTTCGTTCCAGCTCACTTCCTGGGATGGTATATCAAGGTGTGTGTGTGTGTGGAGAAGACTCATCTCAAATATACTGTTATTGTCCAAAGATCACCATCTTCAACTGATGAAACTAAACAACATTAGAAGAGCTTGATTGAGTTTTTTAGCAAGGGAATGGAAATGATTTCTTAGCAGAAAATACATTAAAATACATTTAAAGCAAGTGATTTTCATAAATCTGACTCACTAAAATAATGATCACTTAAATCCTTAAATACCAACACATTTGTTACATTTAAAAAATCTTAGTATAATAAGAATCAGTTTGATTGCCAAGTAGGGTTACAAATACAAGGATTTTGCTTTGGTGTATAATGGCGCTTACGTAAAAAGAGTTGGAGAGAAAATATAAGAAAACAACCTGTAAAACTATTATACAATAAAAAAATATATATGTTAACAATAAATATTAATATCTAAAAAAAGTACAATATCAATATGACAAAAATATATATACAGATTTTTTTCTATATGTTAAAAAGAAAATCTACTTCGCAACTCGGATCAGTGTTTTCTTTATCCTGCTCTTGTATGTCACAGACTGACAGCACTGGTATGCTGGTTTGCATTTGCAGCAAGGAATAATGTTATTTTTAAGGTATCATGCTGACCTCCTCCTCCCACTGCCCACCATTCACCTCCTCCTACTAACTTCCTCCTCTCTCCCTCAGACTCTGGTGATCCGGGACTGGTGGATGTGTATGATAATCAGTGTCATGTTTGAGTTCCTGGAATACAGCCTGGAGCACCAACTGCCGAACTTCTCAGAGTGCTGGTGGGATCATGCAAGTACAAATATTACCGCTCTTCCTCTGTGCATACCTAAGAGTCTACAGGTGTGCCTCAGCATGGAGTTCACTGTGAATACACTGAGTCTACATTAGATGGAGGTCACAGTGAGAAAAGACAAAGCTTGTGGGTGTGAACAGACTTATGCAAAATGTAGTATAACTGTAGTTGAGTTAACGACAAAAACCTGCTTGCATGAAATTGATTTGCAGTGGAACACTTGCTCTGTCTGCAACTATGTTTGTGTTTTCTCACTCACCAAACACTATTACATTACATTTCATTTAGCTGACGCTTTTATCCAAAGCGACTTACAATGACCAATTACAGGGACATTCTCCCTGGAGTAACTGAGGGCTAAGTGCCTTACTCAAGGGCACACTAGTGGTGGTTGTGAACTCACAACCTTCCGATCTTCAGCCCACCTCACTATCCATTAGACCACCACTATAGTGTTTAAGGAATGCTAAAGTATCATTTGACCCTCCTAGCTCAGAACTAAATAGGAGAGTCAGGCAGATCTGTAAACACCAACACAGTCCTCAGATGATATCTGATCCAACAAACTCGTGTAGGTGGAATACATTGGAGTGTTACTAGACCCGTCAGCCATCTGCCAAGACCAGAGGCGTTTCAATTTGTTCAAGGTCAACTTAACCTCACAGAACACAGCTCTTGGCTATAACTCAATAATGTATAGGCTTCACATGACAACTTCATAAAAATGTCTGATAGGATAACTGACAAAGTGATGACAATATGACAGTTGGTGGAAGAGTAGAGCTGCAAGGTGGTAATTCTGGTTTGACCCTTTATTATTGTTTTGTTTATCTCTCTCTAGTGGATCATGGACGTGTTGGTGTGTAACGGCCTGGGGATCTACTGCGGCATGAAGACCCTAGGCTGGCTGTCCATGAAGCCCTACCAGTGGCAGGGGCTGTGGAATATCCCCACATACAAGTACGAATAAACACATGCTGACTCTCTGAAGCAAAATGTGGTTTATTCCAGGGTGATCTACCTACTACTAACTTTACTCTTATAGAAGACATTTTCATTTCTTTAACCCTCCTCACTTATTGTGGGACAGATATGTGGCATGAGGTTCAATATTTAAAGATATTGATATTGTTTTTGACAGCGTTGTGAAGTAGTTTGCTTGTATAGCCCCTTTAATTACAGTTAGTGCCAATATTGCTGTGTTAAAAATGTGTGTGTGTTCTAACTAGATCCACTGTTTCTCTCCAAGGGGAAAGATAAAGCGCATAGCTTTCCAGTTCACTCCGTACAGCTGGGTGAAGTTTGAGTGGAAGCCTGCTTCAAACCTTCGTCGCTGGCTCGCCGTGTTAGGAATTATCTTTATGGTAAGAATTATCCTTATCAAAATAAACAATGGTACTTTTTGTCAAAATGGAAACCAATGATAATAAAACTTTGATAGGTTATACAATATGCTTTCTGCGACATCACTTGTGCTCAGGTTTTTCCTGAAGCTATTTAGCTTCACGCATTCTGCATTTGTCATGACTTTTTACTTTTTAGAAAGTATGAGTTGATGCACTTATGATGTCAGGTGTGGGGGAAACTTCTGAAGCAATTGGAGTCAGGACTCAGAGAGACACGAGGAGAGCTGGAGCTTTGATGGCAAACACTGACGGTTTATTTGGAGCTTTGGCCGGAGAATTCACAAGACATGTCACGGGCCACGGTTTGACCACACGGTTGAGATGCCACAATCAATTCTGAAGAACTCTTCTGTAGCTCAAGGTTTTAACTAGTTCGGGGTGTAATAATCAACATTCTTCATCAGCGAGACTAAACAAATATGGACCCTGAATCTAACTAGAGCTGTCGTCCATAGAAAAGAATGTGCGCCAGGGAACCTACGTTCCTAAAAACAAGGGCTTCTAGATGTCCCTGAACAATAAACTATCTCATGTCAGCTTGTGCTCGGTCATAAGCTGGCAACAACAATGCGCCCAAGCTGCTCCTCCTTAAGAGAGATAGCAGCAATACCCAAGGCCGTAGAACTATGCCGTGGGAAAGGAGACAGTGAAAGGAGGAAAATGATGAACTGTGTCAAAGGTTGAATACCTAAGCAAATTATTCCCCAACATCAGGCATAGTCATTAATGTGTTTGAATATATCAAAACATGAGTCACTACCCACAAATGTTGACATAGTTAACGCAGGGCATGCGTGGTGTCCTACTAGCTTCTCTTCTATTATCCTCTTGTCAGTGATCCTAAATGAAGACCCCTCCTTTTATCTCCTCTCTCTCCCAGTTCCTCCTGGCGGAGCTGAACACTTTCTACCTGAAGTTCGTGCTGTGGATGCCTCCGGAGCACTACCTGGTGCTGCTCCGCCTCGTCTTTTTCGTCAACGTAGGAGGAGTAGCCATGAGGGAGATCTACGACTTCATGGATGACCCGTGAGTAGCAGTTGAAGGGTTTGATTATGTTCATCGGTTGATCACATACATTCCCAACCAAGGGGCAATTCTGCATTTCTATATGTTTAATGGAAAGTAGCTCAACTCAACCCCTCATATAGAAAGAGTACATTCACAAAGTGTCTGCATTACTGATCCATAACAGGATCTGTTGCATAAGGAAAACTTGCTGGCTTTCACTTTTAATAAGTGAATGAATAGTTTAAGATTTTTAATAAAAGTGCAGATCCTTCTCATGAAGTGTCCTGTAAAGTCAGCTACACTGTAGGCCATTTAAATTGCAGTTCAGTGCTAATAGATGCATGAGTTTTCACTTTATGTGAGCTGGGTGTTGAGAAACCCTCAGAGCAGCAGGCAGTGTTCACCTCACTGATAGTGTGAGCTTCTTATCACATCTGCCTACAGAAAGCAGGAGTTTCTGCTTGTCTGACAAATATGCTCACACAACTGCATTGCATTCAATAACTCACAACGTTTCTTGTAGTGGAGAATATCATTTTTGAAAGTTCCCAGTTGCCACACACACTGGCAATCCATAAGGAGTGTTATATAGAATACCATGCACGGAAAACAGGGTAGGGCAACTCACCATAGCCTAGAGACAGGGTTGAGTTATAGGCTGCTGTGTGTTATGGAAATGTACAGTTATCATAGACTGTGTACATTTGCTTATCTGTGGTGTTTAAACAAACTGTGTGCGATGCAAAGGTACAGAAAGTACATTATTTTAAAAGCTCACTGCTTAGTTATTTGTAAAGGACTAACTATGCATGCAACCTTTAGTTTAATAACAATATTAAAGTTGGATACTATTATTTTATCAGGTTTATGAGTTATTTTAAGGGTCGTGGAAACTGATGATCATAATAATAATTTATGAGCTAAACTATAAAGATATAATGCTTTTAGGCAACTTCTAGGAGTATAGTAGCTATTTATGTTCCATGTATATAGTTTATTGTGTGTAGAAAGCTCTTTATGCAGGTGTCTTCTTTCATACTCACTATGATGTAATCTTAATATGTGACCCGCTCTATCGAAATCAGTCAACGGCTCATTTCAAAATAAACGTGGATTTGCGTAAAAAAATAGTTTTTCGGGGTTCGGGTGTTTTGTTTAATTTTAAACAAACAAAGTCTTTGCTTTCAGAATATGAAACTTTTATTTCCAAAATCACACGATAAATACATGTTTGAAGCTTGTAAAGGGAAGATGACACCTCTCACTCGCCTCTCTGCTGTTCCGCAGCGCTGCTCCCCCTCCCTCCCGCTGACATTATGAATGTAAGGCGTATAGTAATCATAGATAACACGGCAGGGTCCGTTACAGTTTGTTTTCATCTGATTTCAATTAAACAAAGTCTTGGCTTTCAGAATATTAAACTTGTTTCGGCAAATTCAGATGATAAATACAACTTTGAAGCTTGTGACGGCATAATTACAAGCGGAGAACGGAGTAACTTAACGTCACAGCAGGCATAACAACAGCTGGTGTTTCTCGTGAGTGTTTTCCCCGGGAAACAAACACAATACACACAAACGCAAAAATACACAAACACACACGCGTATACACTCGCGAGCTTCCCCCAGACCAGTAATACAAACGGAAATATCTTCCCTCCTTCTCAAAATGATGACTCGGTGACAGTCATTATATAATGTGACATATTTTGCTTAATATTTGGAGTACAATAACAATCCTGAAAGCTAGGAATCTCCTCTTTCCAACAGTGTATACGACTCAAAATGTGTCTTCGGGTCAATGCGACTGATTTCGATGGAGCAGGTCACATGTGTATTTGGTGTGGTTTATATCACAAGCTTACCTATAAACAGTTAAAACACCGGTCTGTTTTGTCCCCACAGGAAGTTCCATAGGAAGCTGGGGCAGCAGGCGTGGCTGGTGGCGGCCATCACAGTGACGGAGTTCCTCATCGTGGTCAAATACGACCCCAACACCATCATGCTGCCCATCCCCTTCTTCATCACGCAGTGCTGGTTCCTGGGGATCCTCCTCATCTTCACCTGGACCCTGTGGAGGTTTTTCTTCCGGTAAGAAGTGGGGGGTGTTACAGGGCAGGGGGGAAGGAGGCACAAAGATACTTTAAAGACATAAGAAAGGGGAATACTATTTTATTAAGAAATTCAAATACAGCAATAGTATAACAAGAAATTGTTCTCACTGTTGCATTCAAAAGGGTACAATTGAATCACAATAAACAGATTCATTTCTTCATATGAGAATTGTCATACTCATGACCTCATGCAGCGACAATTTGAGGTTACTCTTGGTTCGATTCTCCTTCTGTTGATTATTGATCCTCCTGTCATTAGGGTAGCATTGCCCCCAGCATGTTCAGCTTCTCATCTGTTGTCTCCCCCTTCCTGCCTCCCCCTTCCTGCCTCCCCCTTCTTCCCTTCCTGCTCATGCTCAGAAATTATGTTGAGTTCCAGTGAGGTAGGTATATGAGAGAGGCTCTACCTCCAAGGGCAGTGTTGTATTTTATGTTATTCCCTGTTTAATACACAATATTTCATAAATATTATCAGGATCTTCTATAAAACAGAAATATTACTCCACATGATTCCTTTTGCCACATGACACTCTTATGGCGCTTTTCCACTGCAGGACCTAGCACGGCTTAGTACGGTATGGTTAGGCCTTGGTAGGCCAGGCTCACTTTATGCTGCGTTTCCATTACAGGTTACCAACTGGGGTAGTAACTATAGTAACGCAGTGTAGGCGGGGCGATCGGCTGTTCGGCGGGCGGAGAGACGCTGCGTAAAACTGCAGTGACGTCATCTTCAATGTGAACCACAAAACCAAAACATTAGCTGTTAGCACTCAGAGCTCACAGCTCCTCTTATCTGTTCAGAAACTAGACAAAAGTTAAACGAGTACAAACCACAGACTGCCTGTGTCATGGCGAGTACAGTCGCTGGTTTATTTATGTCTGTAGGCCGTTGTTGTGAGTGAGGACGGAGCATATACAACGTTAGCTTAGCCGATCTCCATTCAGAAAACACGCATTTTAAAAGGTTTTTCGCCTGCCGTCTGTCTGCAGACCGGTATCAGTATGTTGTTACTTCGGCATCATTTTGAAACTTGTATTACAATTAAATCACGGTAAAATATGTTCATTTTGTTGTAGTTGTAGCCCCCTTGCCAGCGATTCTCTCTGACCATTCAGCAGTCGAGTGTTTACGTCACTAGTTTAGCATATTCAGCCCGGTTGTTGGCCCGGTATGAACCTCGATTTTGGAGGGCCAGAAAAAAGGTGAAAAAGTAGCCCTGAGCCGGAACTACCCCTAGTGGAAAAGCAAAAAAAAGCGGGCCGGGCCAACCGTGCTACGTGCTGCAGTGGAAAAGCGCCATTAAAGTACTTTAAGTGCTCTGAATTTTATCACCTTCATTTTTTGCATTTCCCTTCACATCCTTTTATTCTCAGCTGCAGTTCAATCAGTAATAGAGAATTGTAGACAGGAGACACAAAGGCTCATTGAATGAAAAAAAAAAAAAAGTGTTTGCACAGCTAACACACACACACACACACACACTGTACACACTATACACACACACACTGTACACCCCCACACACACACACACTGTACACCCCCACACACACGCACACGCACACGCACACGCACACGCACACGCACACACACACAGAGTGCCAGTCAGCATGCCAATAGATCTGTCCCTCACTTCCCATGGTGCACCTCTTCCAGCCTATCAGTACAGTGCATCACGACCACAGACACTAAAGCATGCTGTGTTCAAGTTACACAGACCTGGGTGAAATTGTATTTGCAAATACATGTAATGTTTTGTTTTATTTATTTATATATATATATATATATATATATATATATATATATATATATATATATAGCAATTGTTTATCATTACCTTAGAATAAAGTAAACTTAGCCGCAGTATCAGAGCACCGTTTCAACAAATAACATGTTCTTTGCATATTTATTAGTGGAACAACGATGGGTAAAGTTAATTATCATCGTGAATCTTTATTTAAGTAAATTAATCTGCAGTTTGGCCCACATCCTGTTACGCCAACCAACCTAACTCCTGTTTCAAAGGAAATTAAATGCCTTATATCAACAAAACAAATTGCTACACTTATCAGCCTTTCCTGGCATTTTAATAACACCTGAAAATCCTTTTTGTCGATGGGGGTTATTACAGCATATAAGCACTGAAACACACTGAAAACAGATTCCTCCCCTGCAGAAAATTCCAAAATATAAGTATCATTGTTTAAGTGCTGTTGTGGTAAGGTTTAAACAAATATTATTCCCCCACACGATGGATGGGTGCCTATTTAGAAAACCACAGAAAACTTTTTTAAATGGCCTTCTATGAGAAAACACATTGAGATGGTGTTTTTCCTGATAGCCTTTCTTCTTTTCTTCCATCTTCTCACAGTGACATCACGCTCCGTTACAAAGAGACCCGCCGACGCAAACAGGAATCCCCCTCGGACCGAGACCGCTCCCTCGGCAACGGCAACCCCTCCACCCCTTCTGGACGCAGCAAACTGAACGGCAGCTCGGAGACGGTACGGCAGAGAAAATCCTGAAGCGGTGGAGTGGGGGGCGGATGGGGGGGGGGGACGAGTCCTGAGCGTCGGTCAGCAGCAACTGAAGGAGAACGTTCGAGGTTCGGTGGGAGAGAGAAACAAGAAAACTGAAGCAGACGCAAAGAAACATGTAGAGGCAAACTGATGGACACGTGCTGAGTAGACTTTATTTGTGCCTACATGAACCAAGCAGTCGTTCAACAGAGGCAACGAGGGGGGGGGGGGGGGGTGCTTTGATGTCGATGCATCGTCTAGTTATTGTCTTACTACAGGGATTTACCTCATTCTATTTTTTTAACTGCATTTGAGGGAATTATACACAAGTTAGTGTATTATTTATACACTTAGGAAAAAGCTGAATCAAAGAGAGAAGGAGGTGGCCGAGGGAAGTATATAATGTAGATTTGTGACCAATCGTAATCCCTTTTCTCAGCTGCACACTTTTAGAATACAAGAGGTGAGTGTTAGAAAATGTCCGCCACTGTAAATACGCTTTGTTCCGTGTGTCGTGCGCAGTAGCATCGGTGCAGGTGAGAAAAAGGAGAGTATTCGGAGAGTTTTCTGTACGTGACGGTTACTGATGTTCAGTGTCAACCGGGAATATTGGCCATAATGATGCCAAGCAGCAGTTCAAATCCAGCTCGGTAAATACTGACAAAATGTTCTCTTTATTTTTTGGTTTCGAGTTATCTTTCGGAAGGTTTTGGTCTCCTGATGCATTGTTTACACGAGGGAGACGCTATCATCTTTTCATCTTTACTCATTCCTGGAAACAAAGCCTCGAGGTGCTTGTGAACGCGGGGCGGTCCTCGCTCAGTCTGACGAGAGAGGAGAGAGAACTGGCCGAAGCCTTCTTTAATAGAATATAACAAATAAAATCAAGGTGTACCATATTGTAGTTATTTAACTGCTGATTATACATGATTTATGGGGTATAGTTTGAGTATTTTTGTAGTTCCTTTGTTATCACTACTGTTACCATAATAGATTCCTTATAGAAGTTCCTCGTTTTAAAGAAATGCAGCACTCTAAATAAACAAATCCATGACAATCACACTGATAGGAAGCATTAATCCTGTCTGATGGACTCATGTTGGCTCGGCACACATGGCAGAGATCTCTCCACTGTAACAAGACTAACGCTCGTTCAGGCACATCAGAACGTACACTTAACATCTGATTAGGTTAATGCCAAATGGATTTTTAATTAACCCTTCATTTAGAGCATGTGCTGTTGTGGCTGAAACTAAATGAAAGCGGTTAAGCTGTGTTTTGGTGTGTATTGTATACAAGCCAAAGCTTAGATCCTGTTCTTGATAAAGCCATAAATGCCACTCAGACCCACCCGAGCCACTTAAACAGCTGATAAATCTCTTTCAGATTCCTCTACATTTCAACTAAAGCAGTCCCAGAGCACCCGGGATCCTGTCAGCCATTTTTACGTTAAAAAAGGAACCTTCTAGGGGTCAGACCATTCAAAAGAACATATTTACTTTTGTCAAAATTGGAACTTAAACTGTCTGAAAATGTGTAATTGTCTCAGTATTTGTTGATTTTTTTGTCAGTTACATAGAACATAAGGATGTATTAGTCGACTGTATATGAATCTTGTTTTCACGGTGGATTGTTTCTGTGATTTATTTTCAAACAAAAAGCCAAGCATTCTTCTTTAGCAGCTTCTCCAGTGCTGCTGCTTCTCTTACGTGAACTGAGTATCTTTGTGTATTGGACAATTGGTCAAACAAAACCATGATTTAGAAACAGAAAATACCAATATAATGTTTTCTGCCCATCTATAGGAAGAAGAAAAGAAAATCTGTTGGCGAAAAATAAAACCAACAGATTCATTAAAATAGTTAGATGCAGCCTTAGTCAGATGATCTGAGCTTTTCGTAATGCTATGAAAAATACACTGTAGTCAGACCTCAAATATTGTTCCCTATACAGTATGTCACTCAGAAAGCTTTAGTCTGAAGTTCAGAGAATCAGCTGTAAATGTGAAGGTGTGTCACTCGTCCTGTCCCAGTGGCTTCATAGCTGCAGACAAAGCATTGACGATCGCCCCAAATGGTCCTCCTGTAAACTGGACTGATGTTTAATGACCCTGAAGTCATTTTCTTTTGAATGTAACCCAGCTGAATCTGCTTTCCAAGTGAGACCTCATCATATTTCAGTTTATTTCACCATAAACACTAAACTAAAAGTTCTTCATTCTCATCCCGTCTGTAAATGTTTCCCCTCTTTCTTTTGAATACAGAGATTGCTGTGCAAATGTGAAACCCTAAAAACAATGTTTAGCTGAAAGGTCAAAGTCTGTCCTCCCGTGCTGTGCTGATTCAGTTGCTTGTGAACTTTGTAGAAGTTTACTTTATTCCCCTTTATTCCTTTAAATTACATGGGGGTTCAATGTCAGTGTCCATGCCTTGGATTGGTAGATGTTTTTAATTGAAATCTCTAAAGACTTAAACCAACCCAAGAATGTGCACATCACAAATGATTGATTTCAGAATCTGAATTGCATTTATGAGTTATGGAACTGAATATAAACTGTTTTTCCCCACCGTCCCCCCCCCCCCGTCCCCAAAAGGACCCTTTTCCTTAAATGTCTTTTAGGGTTCCGTGTAGTTCCACCTGCAGCCACGCGGGGGCGGTACGTTATTTGTTACTGCTCTGACTTCAATGTGTTCTTGTCTCCATGGTAACGATCATTCGCAACTTGCTGTAAAAGCAATTTTTTCAACTTGGTTTGTGTACATTTGAACATGTTAAAGATCATAATAACTGACAATATGCTGCTGCACCACATACTTTTATAATGTTTTCAATAAAATCCACTGAAAACCTGCATGGATTTAGCTTGTTTTCTTAAAAATCACAAATAAGGAAATGTGAGTTTACAGCCGCGTGGCCGAACGTTTAGAGAATGACTGCTTCAGTGTTTTTAGATCTTTCTGTCAGATGTTACTATGGTATACTTAAGCAATAGCTCACGACAGGCCGTGGTGCTCATATCACAGCTAAGGGGCGTGGTTCGGCCCGATGCAGGCAGTTTGCTTTTCAGCCCAACTGTATACAGTTTTTCTCAGACGCGGAGGGATACTGACTTGTGAAAAGTAACTATTATACCCGTGGTATACGCTCAGTATACCACGGCTAAGAATCAATCAGATTGTTTGATTTGACTTGTCCGTTTTATAATGAAGTATAATTTTAAGCATTTCACACAAGTGTCAAAGGCTTTTATTGACATGTTACATTAAGCAGTGTTTTTTTGCCAAATTCCTACTTGGCAATAAACCTGTTTCTGATTCTGAACGGCCTGTAAACGGGTTCGTACTAAGTCATGTTTATTTATTGTATTGTATAGCGTCTGCAGTTAAAATTGCATATGGTTCGTTGGTCTAGGGGTATGATTCTCGCTTAGGGTGCGAGAGGTCCCGGGTTCAAATCCCGGACGAGCCCAACTTTAGGTTTAATTCTTCACAGCATTAATTTAGTAAAAAAAGCATATAAATGCAATCGCTCATATCAGAATAGCAGAGAATCATCTAATCTTCCATCTCAGACTGATAACCCACCTGTTTATCCTGCACCTCTAGCTGCCAACCCTCACGCATTTAGCGTGAGAGTCACGCAATTAACCCATATCTCACGCACTCACGCCACACAAATGACGTCTCCCAAGTACCGTGGTAAGGTTGACAACGAACTACAATCACATTTTGATCAAAAAAAGCCAATACGCGCCGTCCTCCGTGCTGGGCACATTACATTGGTCTCTATCCGCAGCCGGACAAGAAACGAGTGCTCAGGGACCGTCTGCAAAGTGCAACTCCGAAAAAAGAGAATACAATAATATTAAATCACTATTATACAGCTATTACTACCAAACTCACTACACTCATCAATAGTCTCCTGTTGGTCATACTACAGCAAGGAATTTGGAAGAATGTGCTTTTGAATAATTTTGGGGAATATTTATAATGTAAAATCTTCAATAAATATGGCATCACCTTCAATAACTTTACTATTATACAGTATATTTCTACCAAACTCACTACACACATCAATAGTTTTCTGTTGGTCATACTACAACAAGGAGTTTTGAAGAATATGCTTCTGAATAATATTGGGGAATATTTATAATGTAAAATCTTCAATAAATATGGCATCACCTTCAATAACTTTACTATAATATTATACAGTATATTTCTACCAAACTCACTATTTGCATTGTTGTTGTTAGCATCTGGTTAGCTAGCTGCGCTAACGGATATTAGAAGCTGTTTCTAAAACAAGGAGAGGGAGAGCTCTCTCCTGTCAGACTGAGAGAGATAACTACAGCTCAGTGAGGTAAGGGACTCTCTGAGTGTTTAGATAGTTAACTTTAGTCTAGTTATCTCAGTGGGTCTCAAACGGTTTGGTCACCATTTATGAGAATAAATGAAAAACAGTTATGAAATACTATATGACAGTAATTTGTGATTTGTAAAATATCTATAAAGAAAAAGAACATCTGTGTACAGTTCTGTTTCATATGGGTGTTGAGAGATGTATCCATAGATCTCTTCATGTTGCTCTCAAAGTGCACCAGATTGATGCTTTTAACTTCAATATTTAAAAACAAATCTTCCCGGGGGAGCATGCCCCACTAGAGGAGGTGAGGATTAATTAAGAAATTATTCTGAACCAAACTAAAGTAAAAATGAAGTCGTAAATATATGTATTTTTTTCCGATAAATCTCAGTTATTTCTAGGGCTGTGCGATTATGGCAAAAATCATAATCACGATTATTTGGGTCAATAATTGATATCACGATTATTAAATACGATTATTCATTGACTTTGAAAAAATCCATTTATTGAACTTTAAAACAAATACAAATAATAATTTGAACAGTATCTTTTTAACTGTTGATTACCCTGAACGTATAATTCAACTGAAAAACCAATACAAAAATAAATGATACATTTAAATAAATATCAAAATAATAAATACCAATAAACAAGATCAACAAATATTTTGGAGCGCACTTCCACAAGCTACTAAACATATATAAATATGATAAATACAAATAAATGAGACCAAAATTAATTAGATCAAATATGTTGCAGTGCACTGTCACAACCTAGCAAAGCAAAATAATTGTTTTTTTCGATTATGTTGTTTTCGTAATTGTGGCAGGCCAAAATCGTAATTGCGATTAAAATACGATTAATTGCACAGCCCTAGTTATTTCCATTTAAGTTTTGTACATAGACCTTTATGAATGGAGGATTTGATGTCATTTCCGTAGTGTCCGACCGGTCCGACCTTATATATACAGTCTGTGTGTCCGACACATGAATGGTCCCGTTATCATAAGTGTATGACAGAACGTATGAAATGAGGAGACAAATAAATTCATGATTTGAGCAGTGAAGTCCCACTTCTTCTTTATTGCATAGTTTCACTTTCACCTGAATAATCTTGCATAGCCATTGAACTGTGGTAAACTCCAGGAGTTAAATGGATCTCATCAAGAGATGCATTTAACTCCTGGGGTTTGTTTTATGACATAAATAGCATAGTTCGCACACATCTCATGTGTGTAGTGCATTCATTAGTACAGTACACAAATCTTTCTGGACTCCCTGAAGCAGCTGGCGAGTATTGATAAAACAAAAGCATTCATTACAAAAGACCCAAAGCAGTGCATGGAATATACTCAGAGCTAGGAGTGTAAAATGCATAGTACAGGAAGCGTGTAAAAGGAACTATTTCACTATCAAAATTTAAATTCTAGAAACTTCTCTAGACTGCTTAAATGCTTTATCTGATTTATGCCTGAGATCTATAATTGGAAAATGTACAACAGCCTCTTTGGTAAACGAAAATAAATACACTTTTAGAGATGGATGTTCTTGTAAAAGGCACGACTGTTAATATAATTTACAAAAATCTATGTGGAATCTGGTCAACCAGCCATTTCGATGCAAAAAGGTGCAAAACAGAGTTATTGTGCCACACATTGACATATCTTTTCGAAAGGGACGTTGAGATCTCTAACTCAAAGCTTAAACACACGTTAATAGAAAAACTGCAGTATATAAAATCAGGTATTAAAAAGACACATTTCACACTGACCAATCAGTAACTGGGTAATTAATGTTCAGTAACTTACAGGATACTGGCAAAACAACATGCCTATTTTTCGGGTCCAAGACACTCATTCACTCTTAGAAAAAACACAGTTTAAAATATATTCTGATAGTAAAAAAGCTTTGTTTATATTCCTACGATCGGACCAGTTTGAAGCCCTGCCCGGTGTCCAGTATCGCCGGGGGAAACCAGTTGAGTTTGACTCTCTTGAGACATCGCAGGCAGACGCTGCAGAGCCACAGCATGTTGAGCCCCCCGCACCACAGCGCCAACTGCACCACCGGGTAGGTGATCCGGGGGAAGTACAGGCTCCAGTGGCTGGTGACATCACTTCCTGTGGGCAGGTGCAGCGTGTAGTCGCTCCAGTGTTTGGAGATGCCGTACACAGCAGAGACAGGCCGGCCCCTCTCGGACCACTGGGTGCTGCTGTGGGAGTTGCAGTTATACTCCACCCACTGGGCGGTGAAGTCTCCGAGCTGCGGGGGGTCCTGCAGCTCCACGTCCCTCACTCGGGCCAGCGTCGCTCCCTGCACGGCCACGTATAGACCCTCCACCTTCCTGACCTCCGTCACCCACGGCAGTGAGAAGTCACAGTCGAGCACTAAGATGAGGCGCGAGCAGAAGCTGCCGTTCTTCTCCTTCCACCACTCCAAGATCTGAGCCAGACCGAGAGTGTCCCCTCCTGGAGAGGAAGAGACAGCAGCCAGTTAAATATCACACAGGAACACACAATAAGGATAATATAAGATTCTCAGATGATTCAAATACAAATATAGCATGCCTTAAAGACACTCACAAAAAGTCATAAGAATAGTCATATTATTATATGTCATAAAAAATATAAATATAAGTACAGTATGCCATAACATTTTCTAATATAGTATGTTATAAATATACATATCATAAAGGCCATACAGATCTTAAGAAACATAGTATGGAATGTCATACAAAGTCATGCAGAAAAAAATAGTTTGAAAAAAGTAATTGTATACTAAGTAATACAAATGTAATTTATACATGTAATAGTCACAAAAAAAAGTTATACTATAGTATATTATAACAATGTTGTAAAAGAAAGTTTTAGTATACTATGTTATAAAAATGTAATTTAAAAAAAGGTAATAGTATAGTATGTAAAACCATAAGCCATAGTATGCTGGAAAAATGTTGTAAAAGATTCAGAGTATAGTTTGTCAAATAAAAAGGCAAAATCATTATCAATTTCATATAAAAAGTTAAAGTATAGTTTGCTATAATACCTTAATTAAAAAACTCATTGTCGTATAATTTGTCATTTAAAGAAATGACAGTTCCCTCTCACCTGCCAGCGCCCAATCCCCGGAGCCGTAGCTGTGCCCGCTGTAGAAGATGACGTAGGTGTCGTGGCGCGGCCCGTCTGCTGTGCGCAGCTCCAGGAAGGATTTGATCTTGGCCTGCAGAGCGTCGTGGCTCATCCCGCTGGTGGAATAGTCGCAGCCAAAAGTCTCGATCAGGTGGTGGGCGAAGAAGCGTTGCACGTTGTTCAGCATGCCTGTGGTGCGCTGGTTCAACTCATGAACCTGGCCCGGAGGCAGCAGCATGGGCTGGCCGTCAGGACTGGGGGGGGGGAGAATAAAACATTAAACACAAGGGAGAAAGGGAATGAATCACGTCTATTTAAATCAGTCATTCAACACAGGTCAGGGCACGTTTACTGGGTCAAA